GATGTTGAAAGGAGACAAGGAATTTCCCCATAACTGACAGAAAGAGAAAGCCTTCCTCTAGAACTGGTGCCCTGAATTTGGACTTCTAGCCTTCTAGATTGTGAATAAATTTCTGTTTGTTAAAGCCATCCACTCGTGATATTCCTGTCATAGCAGCACTAGACAACTAAGACAGGTAGCAAGAGTACCTGGGTGGTGCAAATAGTTAATGCACTCAGCTGCTTACCAAAATGTTGGAAGTTTGAATCCACTTAGAGGCACCTCAGAAGAAAGGTCTGGCGATCTACTTCTTAAAAATCAGTAATTGAAACCTCAGTGGAGCACAGTTCTGCTCTGACACACATGGTTTTGTCATAAGTTGAGTTGCCTTGATGGCAACTGGTTACCAAGAGACCAAGAACCCGAGTTTACATTACATTTGATGAATTGAATTTCACTTCAATAGTTGGAATATAAATTTCCAGTGATTTTTAAGTCATCTATTGATTGGTTGTGCAAACTGTTTGCTCTTGACTGCTAACCTAAACGTTCAAACCCACCCAGTGGTAACACAGAAGACAGACCTGGTAATCTGGTTTTGTTAAGACCACAGCCAAGAAAACCTATGAAGCAGTTCCACTCTGTAACACATGGGGTCACCATGAGACAGAGTTAACATGAAGGCAACTAACAACAGGAATTGACTTTACAGCAGTTAGACAATACAAAAGTCTTTTAGTGTGGAATGGGAAAGTCAAGTTGAGACAGAGTCTGAGAGGGTCAGTTACTGATACCGAAAAAAACAAATCAAATAATTGGGTTAATGGAGCCCTGGTGACGCAATAGTTAAGTGCTCAGCTGCTAATGGAAAGGTTGCCAGTTGGAACCCACTAGCCTCTCTGTGGGGAAAGAAGTGGCAGTCACTTTCCGTAAAGATTACATTCTTGAGAACACTGTAGGGCAGTTCTACTCTGTACTATAGGATCGCTATGAGTTGGAATTTACTCAATGACAACTTTTTTCTTTCTTTCTTTCTTTTTGTTTTGGTGTAAGCATGGGGTTAACAGTCTGTTCACATTGAAAGTAAATCAAGCCATGGTTTGTGAATTACTTCTGGTTGGCTAAACCAAATTCATCAAGTCTGATACAGCACAATTTGAGCAGTTCCCGTTCTTAATAAAGGGATGTAATTATTAATTCTGAGAGTTTTGAGAAGAGAGAATCCACACTGTGAGTTACTTTTGACACATAGACTGAATGAGTTTGAAAGTCTATCATTCTTTAAATGCATTCTTCTTGATTTTGTACATCATTTTCATTTTCTTTGGCAAGGTGAACTGCCCATAAATCTTAGGTTTAGAATTATTTATTGATAAAATACATTTACAAATTATCATTTCCATTTAAAATTCCTTGCAACGTATGTTGAAAGATGGAACATAATACCAAGAGCTTCACCACTTTAATCTTTGCTATAAATCAAAACAAAACCCACTGCCGTCGAGCGGATGCCAACTCATAGTGACCCTAAGGGCAGAGTAGAATTGCCCCCACAGGGTTTCCAAGGCTGTAAATCTTTACAGAAGCAGACTGCCACATCTTTCTCCCATGGAGCTGCTGGTGGGTTCAAACCACCGACCTTTCGGTTAGCAGTTGAGTGCTTTAACCACTGTGCAACCAGCATATAGAGCATCACCCATGGATATGATGTTTTTAGGGAGTTGTCAAGAGAGAATTATGCAATGATTGGAGAAAGTAGGACCAAGAGAGTGAAAGAGGTTAAGAAATTTAGTTCTTTTTCCTACTGGAGAAGAAACCGGATAGACTTAGTAACTGTTTTCAAGCACACTGATAGCTCTTGAATTGATCATGATGACCAGCTGTGAGTGTTCTGCCTCCACTAGTGAAGAAAAACAGGAAAGGCGCTTGAGTTGTCTCGCGGAAAGATTTAATTTACTGAATGTGAACAAAAATCATAGGCGATCCATGACGTGTTTTAAAGTTTTATCATTGAACGTTTTTCTCGTGGTACGTGACTGCTGTTTAAATCATCCCCTGAGCAATTCAGGGTTATTTATTTGTTTTTTGTTACATTACAGGACTGAATGGAGAAAACTGATTTTTTTTTTAATTCCCTTTAAATTCAGATTATGGTTCAATTTTCCATTTTGAAATGAAATTAATTATTTTTAAATGTTCCTTGTGAAATATTCCAAATAATGAAATAAAAAGAATTATATGAAGACCCCCAAGAGCCCTTATCTCAGCTTTATTTTTGATAAATATATGGGCAATTTTATTTTATCTATGTTTTCCTACCACTGGCAATTGTTTTGAAACAAATACCGAGATATCGTATCATTTCATCTGAAAATATTCCAGTATGTATTTGGGAAAAATAATGCTCTTGTTTTAAACATAACCACACTATGATTATCATACTTAAGCAAATTAGCAATAATTCTCTTATAACATCATCTTTTTTTTCACAGTTTGTTTTCGTTAGAATACAAATGAGATTCTTATGTTGCAATTGTTAATATATCTCTTAAGGCTTTTACCACAGTCTGGATTTTTATGATTGTATCACTATGATGTTTAACATATTTCTGTGTCTCACATGTTCCCTGTAAGTTGGTAGTTAGATCTAGAAACTTGATGGGATTCACTGTTTTTGGCATGAAACTTCATAAAAACCCAAAACCAAACCCATTGCTGTCCAGTCAATTCAGACTCATAGCCACCGTGTAGGACGGAGAAGAACTGCCCCATAGGATTTCCAAGAAGTGGCTGGTGGATTCAAACTGCCGACCTTTTGATTAGCAGCCTGAGCTCTTAACTACTGTGCCACCATCGTACCCAAACCAAACCTGTTGCTGTCGAGTCGAATCCAACTCATAGCGACCCTATAGGACAGAGAAGAACTGCCCCATAGGGTTTCCAAGGAATGGCTGGTGGATTTGAACTGCCGACCTGTTTTTGGTTAGCAGCCTCAGCGCTTAACCACTGGACCACATCATAGATGCTATTACATTCCTGCAGTTAGAGATACCTAATCTTCAGTTGTCTCTCTTCTGTTGTTAGCAGCAATTGATGATTGTTGCCTTGATTCATTAATTCACTCAGTGTTACAAGATGGTTCCAGTTTTAAATATATTTCATTATTTGTTAGCTGGGGTATTTCCAAAAATAAACTTCCTTTAACTCATTATTCTGGATACGGTTCATATAGGAAAGGCAGGGAAATGCTTAGTTTTCATCTCTTGTTTGCCAGTTTTCAAAATAATGAGTTGGCTCTGTAGCATCCTCCAAAGGCAATCACATATTTTAAAAAATATTATGAATTCATGGATTTAAAATGTTTTAGGTACTTGAGTCATTTGCAGTTATTATTCTTATTGACATTCAAATTGTCCCATCTTCATTTAAAGGGATTCTCTTCAAATTGGCTGCTGAGTCCTTTAGCACAATACTGATAGTTTTGGATAGTCATACTATCTAGTATGACAATATATTCTAGGCTAATCTTGTACACTCTTCAGCCAATATTTGAATCAATAAAAACTTTAATGACGTTTTCCAGGTTGAAAGGGTTTACAACAAAATTTAGAAAGACATACGTCTTGCCATGGTGAATGAATTTGAATGAAACTTAGCACATGGATATAGGTTATATAGTCATTATAGTTACATAGTCAATATAGTTATATATTATATGTAACTATACTCAATATAGTTATATATTATATGTAACTATACTCAATATAGTTATATATATAGTTAGGTAAATCCTACATTTTATAGAAAGGTGCACATTTTGAGAAAGATACAGGACTTTCTGGAATCAGGAAGATGATGTGATTACTCCTGAAATCTTTTTAGAGCCTTGATTTTGTGTTGTTCATTAAACTATTAATAGAAATGATGACTTTGGGTTGGCTGAGAATAGTTGAAGTGATGTGGAAGACAAATCTATGACTTTTTCCAGCCTTAACTTGCAGGAATTAGATCCCCTAGTTATTTTCCCTCTCAGTTCTAGATATGAGGTAGTATATGAACAATTAAAAAGAAGAATACAGATTTTCTAAGTCATATGATTCCGTAAGTAACATAAAATTAAAGTAAATAATAAATAAAATTATTACTAATAATATGTAGTAAAATGGTCTTATATTTGGGAAATAAATTAAATGTAGCAAATCTGCTCTAGAGAACTGTCACCATCTGGCTAATAAGTGAACGTTTTAATCTCTAGAGGATCGGTTCCAGTAAAAAAAAAATCATATAACAGCAGACTGAAAATCATAACTGCTGACTAGAAAATGGTAAGACAAAATAGAGTGGCCTCAGAGAGATTTTTGGTCTTATGCTCACATGAAAAAACAAAACAAAAAAACAAAACAAAAAAACAAACGCATCGCCATCAAGTCGATTCCGACTCCTAGTGACCCTATAGGACAGAGTAGACCTGCCACGTAGGGTTTCCAAGGAGCAGCTGGTGGACTTGAACTGCCAATCTTGGGTTAGTAGCCATAGTTCTTAACCACTGCACCACCAGGGCTCCCATTATACTCACATCGATTCACATAAATTCATCTTGTGGAAAATGTACCCAAACTCTTCAGATATTAGTATCAAACAATAGAATATCATCTACAGTAAATATGTTTTTCATTCTATAAGAGAAAGAAATTTTTATGGTAATGAATTTTGATTTCTGATAAACCATATTGAGGACACTGCAACTTCATAACATCCAAACAACAGACCTACGAGAGTTTAAGCAGGGGCTCCTCTTTCCTTTGGTCAGAACAATGGTGGGGAAGTAGGCGAGTTTCTCATGTGAACCGGCATAAGCAGATGCTAATAAGGATCATAGCTGGAGTTATGCTTCAGTAGTCTGCATCCCCTCAGCTGCACAAAAATATCGGCCTTAAAAACATACTCACTGACAATTTCACAACACGATGCAGAGCAGCTCAAGGACTTTTATCAGTCTTTATTTTTCTTTGCCTCCTTAGGCTTATCGACACTGCAAGCCGTGCTGGATTCTGCTGCGGAAAAGAAATGGCAAGTGACTGCTATCAATGTGGGAAACATTAACAATGACAAGAAAGATGAGACCTACCGATCACTTTTTCAAGATCTGGAGTTAAAAAAAGAACGGCGTGTAATCCTGGACTGTGAACGGGATAAAGTGAACGACATTGTAGACCAGGTTTGCTGTTCTCTGTTGTCTAATGGCACCAAATACAGAATACGTGTGCAACGTCAGCATTTACAATGAGCATTTGTGTAGTGGTGCTTGAACAGCACTTTTTACATTATGGTTTACATAGGATGCAGCAAAGATCATCTGTTAAATTATCTCTGGCTTCAGTTAGTGATAGCAGACGGTCTTCAATAAAGCTAACGCAAAATAATAATCATTAAACAAATTCAATATATAATTACTGATTCTTATGTTTTACATGATGAGTGTTGCCGTAAACTTTGATATTTAAAATTGGAAATTTAAAAATTAATCTGTTGAACTTTTTACCGATAACAAAGTAGACATGCATTAAGTCAAAATGAGTCTGAGTCATGAGAGAGGAGTAATTCATTAATTCTTTGGAGATACATGGTTATATCAAATAGAAGGGTACTATATGGTACACTAAGCTATATTAGTGTCTAAATGTATTTATGTTTCCAGAAAGAGCATGCATTTATTTTTCCAAGAAGTAATTTTTTTTCTCTCTTACATAGGATATGTGTCACTATAATAATATTAACGTATAAATTTAGAATATGTAGGAAAGATACATCTAGGTTTTGTTCACAATCTGAGGAGTAAAACAGATGAATCCATTTGGCCTTTTTCAAAGAGTAGCATGATACCGGCGATAAGGATATTTTTACCTGTGCTTACCATACCAACTTGCTTCATTTAAGATCTTTTCATTTTATATTTTTTCCCATGCAAAAACGTATACATACACTGTTATGTGACCCTAACTTCTCTCCCCATATTGTGACAGCACATTCCTCCTTTCCACCTCTGATTCCCCATGTCCATTCAATCATCTGCTAACCCTCTCTGCCTTCCCATCTCACCTCCAGGCAGAAGCTGCCTGTTTAGTCTCTTGTATCTACTTCAGCTAAGAGGCACACTCCTCACGAGTATCACTTTATGTCCCAGAGTCCAGTCCAATCCCTGTCTGAAGAGTTGGCCTCAGAAATTGTTTTATTTCTGGGCTGATAGAGAATCCAGGGGCCGTGCTTTCCAGGGTTCCTCCAGTCTCAGTCAGACCATTAAATCTAGTCTTCTTACTAGAATTTGAGTTCTGCACTCCAACTTGCTCCTGCTCCATCCGGGACTCTGTTGTGTTCCCTGTCAGGACGGTCATTGGTGGAAGCCGGGCACCATCTAGTTCTGGTCTCAGGCTGATGAAGTCTCTGGTTTATGTGGCCCTCTCTGTCTCTTGGGCTAATAGTTTCCTTGTGTCTTTGGTGTACTTCATTCTCCTTTACTCCAGGTGGTTGGGACCAGTTGATGCATCTTAGATGGCCACTGGCTAGCTTTTAAGACCCCACATGCCACTCACCAAAGTAGGATGCAGAACATTTTCTTAATAAGCTTTGTTATGCCGATTGACCTAGATGTCCCCTGGAAGCATGGTCCCCAGACCCGTACCCCTGCTCCTTTGTCTCTCAAAGTGTTTGATCGTATTCAGGAAACTTCTTAGCTTTGGTTTAGTCCAGTTGTGCTGACTTCCCCTATAGTGTGTGCTGTCCTTACCTTCACATAAGATAATTCTTATCTAGTATCTAGTTAGTAAATAACCCTCAGCCTCCCTCCCACCCTCGTAACCATCAAAGCATGTTTTCTTCTGTGTTTAAACCTTTTCTTGAGTTCTTGTAAGAGTGGACTTATACAATATTTGTCCTTCTGTGACTGACTAAATTCACTCAGCATAATGACCTACAGTTTCCTCCATGTTATGTTTCATGGCTTCATCATTGTTCTTTATCATTGCGTAGTATTCCCTTGTGTGGATATACCATAATTTGTTTCTCCATTCGTCCGTTGATGGGCACCTAGGTTGTTTCCATCTTTTTGCTGTTGTAAACAGTGCTGCAATAAACATGGGTGAGCATATATCTATTTGTGTGACTTCTCTTATTTCTCTAAGATATAGTCCAAGGGGTGGGATAGCTGGACCGTATTCTACTTCTATTTCTAGCTTTTTAAGGAAGCGCCAAATCGACTTCCAAAGTGGTTGTACCATTTTACATTCCCACCAACAGTGTATAAGTGTTCCAGTCTCTCCACAACCTCTCCAGCATTTATTATTTTGTGTTTTTTGG